GAGCAGTCAGTGCTCTTAACCTCTGAGCCATCTCTCCAGCCCAAGAGCACCTTTCTTATATACTCAAATAAAACAGGCCACGGGTTAGAGAGTGTCTGGAGCAACAGGGATACCATGCAGAGTGGCCAGGGAAGTTCTTTCTAGGGAGGTGACTTATCTGGCCTCAGATGAGAAGAAGCCAGCTTTCTAAGAAGTGTGAGATATGAAAGAACCCAAGAGGAACTAGAGGCAAGACACCCAGCTGTTCATCTGAAGAGGAGAAAGGGGCCAAAGTCACAGTCAAGCAAAGACACTGATGGCTGTGAGGGACTCCTAGGAAACGTGGGGAAACACCCTACTTCCAAGCGATGGAGGGTTCCTGTGAGGAACTCCCAGGAAACATGGGGAAACACCCTACTTCCTTGCCAGACTGCTGTTGTTTTGTTTTAGTTTTGTATCTGTGGATGATGAGGTGACAGTCTTACTGAGGAATCACTTGAGACCACTAAAATCGGAACATTCCTAGAGTTTGTGGCTGATGCTTTATCAAAATTATGCTATGATGCCGGAAGGCCTCACAGCCTAGCTTTCTGGAGAGCAGCCACAGATGATGGGAATTCCAGGAATTCCTCACCATCCATGTGTGTGCCCAACAGACTATAGTAGGGAAGTCTCTATCCTTGACCCTCCACTTTGTGTTCTGAGATGGGCTCTCAGATAGCCCTAGCTGGCCTTGAACTCCTGATCCTTTGGTCTCCACCTCCCAAGGTGGAGATCACGTGACACCAGGCCTGACTCTGCTCGTTTCATGTGTGCACATGTGAGTTGGAACTGATGTCGGGCATCTTCTTCAACCTCTCTCCATGGTACTCTTGGAGACAGGCTCCCTCTCTGAAGCTTACAGATTCATCTGGACTGACTGACCATCAAGTCCCAGGGGCCTCCTCTCTCGCCCAGCACTACTAGGTTCATAGGTATGCTGGGCTTTTCAAATGTGGAGTTCTGGAGGCTGGATTCAGGTCTGAGTGTTTGCTGGGAAATACTTCCCTCACGGAGACATTCATTTTCTTGGCCTCTTTACTTATTCTTGATTTTTGGCCACAGATGACTTACTTTCTTTAGCAACAATGTAGTTTATTTGGGATTATCTGGCTAAACCTTCAGTAGCGGGGATGCAAATTTAAGTCATTTAATTGCATTAATTAATTTGTATCGTTAACTTGTAACTTGTTAATTCACAACAATCTATGATATAATTGTGAGAACAAAGATTTGAGAGAGGAACTTTTCCCATTTAGAAAATCCTATCTGTTGTTAACTTGTTCTATGGACTGGGAAAAACTTGCTAATTTTGGTTTAGCTATACAAATCTCAGTCCTGCTGAGACAGTCAAGTAGTTCAGAACAGAAACTGGACCTAGGTAACTGGGTTCAGGTCAAAGCTTTGCCACGTCACAGCTATGCACCTTCGGGAAGTGATTAATGTTTTCATTTCTTAGTTTCTTCACTTGTAATTAAGGATAATGATAGCATTCACTTTACTTTAATTACTTAAATGAACAACTGTCCCATAACCAGATCAGTATCTCCCATAATTTAAGTTCTATCCTTTCTTACAGGAAATATTGCTGCTATATCCACTATAACAACAATCGCTCCAACTACGGCAGTTCATAATGACCTTGGAAATCCCTAGTGTGTAACTTTAAACTTCCTTAAGTGGCAGATTTAATAATATCAGCGGTGGACACCTTTCTACTAAAACCATTTCACTCACCATGTGTTCAAACTATGCATTGCAAGCGCTGGCTGTAAACTATTCAGTGCAGAAAGGGATGAGACGGAAATCTTCCCCACAGAGTGGTCTAGTCGAGGTAAGGACACACAGAAGAGAAAGGAGTCTCCACATCTTCTCCCCTTCTCTCTGCAAGTTTCTCTGACCTCCTAGCCCCATGATTTCTAAGTCCCAGGTACCCAGAGTCTGGATTTTATCCCGAGTCTTTCGCTGTAAAACCAGGCTACCCCTCCAGAAGTCCGTTCTTCCGATACAAACTATTCTCTAAGCCTTTCCAGAGATGTGCAAAGCGAAAAACGCTTTGAAAAATTATGGCAACTTAGTACGTGGTTAGCAACATCTTAGGATTCTCAGAAGTATTTCTAATCTTAAAATACATTTCTTATCAGAATCTCAAACTATTATAAATTAATGCAGAGAAACAAAGATAGGTGAAAAAATTCAACCAGTCTTTGTCACCACAGACTTTTCTGGAAGTTAGTCTTGAGACAGAAAAACCTATCAGCATTACTTTCTTCCCTCTTTCTATTTTGAAATAACATAATATTCATTTTATTATTAACAGAAAATAAGTATATAATTATAAGGAAATATATACTCTGATAAATGTATCCATTGAATCAAGGTAATTAACATATCACCTCACATACTTATGTTTTGGTGGTGTGGACATTTGACATCTACTCCCAGCAAGTTTTAAATAGATGTTACCTTGTTAAGTACAATCACCATGCTGTGTCCTCTTGTCTATCTGAAATTCTGCACCCTTTGACCAGTATCTTTCCAACTTAGCCCTGTTCCTGGTCCCCAGTAACCACCGCTCTACTCTGGCTTCTGTGATTTCTATTCCACACATTAGTGGGATCGTGAATCTGGACCTCTCTGGGCCTGGCTTTCATCTCTTAACGGTGTTATCAGGTTCACCCATGGTCTTGCAAATGGCAGGACTTCCTAGTACCTGAAGTTGAGGAGTAGTCTCAGTGTGTACACACATTCTTAATCCATTCATCCGTAACAGACACCAAGTTGATTCCATCTCTTTGGCTATCCTGACTAACAGACACTAAAGTTGATTCCATCTCTTTGGCTATGCTGACTAATGCTGTGGATGCAGACATCTCTCCAACACACTGATTTCATTTTCCAATAGTGGATCACACAGTTTTAGTTTTTGGAGAATTTCTATATTGGTTTCCACAATGGCTATATCCATTTATATAATATAGAATTTTATAAGTCTCTCTCTGAAGTTCCTATGGTAGCTGGGATCCCCATGTCTGAACAAAGTCTGAGGAGGAGGAGGAACGCTGTGATTAGCTCTGTGTGGGAGTAGGAACGGTGTATGCATATGGATGTACATAGAATGTGTCCAGGGCTTTTTATTTGAGGAGATACTAATAATAATTACCTCTTTCGTTTATCCTCTTCGTGCAAAATATTATTCTTATCATAAGAAATTAACTTTCGGCCAAACTTTGGAATCTCAGAGTCAAAATTTCTATAGTCAGAGAAAAGTTAAAGATTATGACTAAGCCTGACAAACCACACTGAATTTTTCAAATTTTTCATATTCTTGATTTTTCTAATGAAAATATCTCTTGCCTAAGGGATAGTCTGTGAACTAAACCATAGATTTCAATTTCTGGATCACTACGAAAAGAATTGGGGGGGGGGCGTAAATCCCTCTCTATTCACCAAGAAACAGGGACTCAAGGTCATAAAATTATAAGATGAAATAGAAATTCAAGGTGAGTGAAAGTCAACACCAGTGAGCAGGCCATTGTGGAGTCATCTTTTTATACACTGTGAAGAAGCGTCACTCAGATTGGTTTAATAAAAAGCTGAACAGCCAATAGCTAGACAGGATTTTCAGGCACCAAGGACGCTGAGAAGAAGAGCAGAATCATGAGGACAATCCAGGGACACAGCAAGCAGCTTGAGCTTTACAAAGTAAAGGTAACTGAGCCATGTTTTAAAAAATACATTAAAAGATACAAGTTAATTTAAGTTATAAGAACTAGTTAGAAACAAGCCTAAGCTATCGGCTGAGCTTTTATAATTAACATAAGTCTCTGTGTCATTATTGGGGAGCCAGGGGTTCCAATGAGAAGATCCAACTACAGGCCATGCTTGGTACAGCTGTGCTTCAAGCTTACCTCTCCAGTTCTTGGAGATAAGGAGAAAGGAGCAGCACTCAGTATGGTTACATTACAGGACAGATCCACCGAGCCGGGGGAGAGGCTTGGACTTAACCTACAGAGGCAGCTCAGGCTCATGACAGTCCTTCTAAACAGTTCCGACTACTTTTATGTGCTGTGAGATCTCCAATCAGCCCCATACTAGGGATTTGTGGGAAATTTTAAAAACTACAAAAATAACATGGACTGTGTTTGCTCTGTCTTTCTGGAACACTATTCTCTATAAACATCTCTTTTCCAAAAGTTCTTCCTGTTTCAAATGCTAAAGGTATAGCTTTTAACCGAGTTTATTGAGGCGTCAGACACAGTAAACTGCCCACATTTAACATGAGCAATCTAACTTAACACCACTTTCCAACTGTGAGCCAGCGAGGACGCTAAGGACTGATTATCTGACCAACTCTGAGCTGGTCTCCCTCTCCCATCCCTCCTCCCAGCACCCCAGCATCACCCCAGGAACTGCTGGTCTGCTTTAGATTCTTTTAAGTTGTTTTTTTTTGTTTGTTTGTTTGTTTGTTTTTTAATAAAATGTGTACTTGGTAATTTAATTTTAAACTTGTTCCTTAGTCATTTTCTGTAATTTCCCAACCGGTCAGTTGCCCTTTCTGTTTCAAATTATCGACAAGGAACCAACCCCACATGTCTTCCAATTTTTTGACACTAGCTTAGGGCCGGCTAAGTCGAGGCTGCGTGCCCAGTGAGTTTGGGGAAAGCGGTGGCCATGCCTTCTCTCGGCACCCGCCTCCTGATTTCTTGCTGACTCTAGCGAGAAACCACCGACCGCGAAAGCAAATGGCTGCACCAGGCATTGCTTCGCTTCAGCCTGAGGCGAACACTGAGCCTCGTGGAAAAACACAGAGGCAGCTCCGGGCAAGGAGACTATTGGCTGACACAGGTACTGAGCAACAGGAAGGGGTGGGGACTCAAAAGGGAATGACCACCATGGGTGACATACAAAGAAGCCACGTAAGGACAGACTACGTTAAGGCAGGAGGCTACGGGAAGGAGAGTCTTCATCATCATGAGGCCCACGACAAGGTCCAGTTTCCACAGTTCCCCAAAGGCTCTCAAATATCCTACCTCAGCGGACTCCCTCCCTACACGACAATGACATTTGCTCCCCTTGTGTCGTATGTTCCTATTGCTGTGGGGAAACACCATGACCAAAGCACCTGGGGAGGAAAGGGTTGACATCAGCTTGTATCTCTCAGGTCACACCCCATCATCACTCAGGGCGGGAAGTCAGGGCAGGAACCTGGAGGTAGGAGCTGAAGCAGAGGCCATGGAGGAGTGCTGCTGACTGGCTTGGTCAGCCTGCTTTTTGTTTGTTTACAACCCAGAACCACCTGCCCAGGGGGGGCACCCCTCCCCCAGTGAGCTGGGCCTTTCCACATCGACCATGAATCAAGAAAATATCCCCACAGACTTTCCCACGGGGGCCAATCTGACAGAAGCATTTTCTTTTTGTTTGTTTGTTTTTGTTTTTAAAGACACAGTTCTTTGGTGTAACCTTGGCCATCCTGGAACTCACTCTGTAGCCCAGGCTGGCCTCGAACTCACAGAGATCCACCTGCCTCTTCCTCCCAAGGGCTGGGTTTAATGGCATGCGCCACCGCTGCCCAGCTGAAGCATTTTTTCTTAATGGGGTCTTCTCCCCAGATAACTCTGGCTTTCACTGAGCTGACAAAAAAATGAGGGCACCTTGGAAGGAGAGAGAGTTGTTCCCGATAGGTCAAGTGGCTGCAGTGTGAGGGCTGGGACCAGAAAGGAGGGCTTCTCTGAGCTCTAGCACCCCTGTTGGGGAACCAGTTAGCTGAGGGAGATGGAAATCATCCAGTGACTTGTGGACCATTCGTAACCTGACATGGCTCACATTCACCACCTGCCAGAGTCAACATGGACTTTATTTTTGTTTTTCATGTTAGAGAAAATTAGGCTGAATCATCGACAATTATTACAGAAGTAGCAAGGCATATTCCAGCTACATAAGCTTGTAAAAAAAAAATGTATCCTCTTTATTCCTAAAAATACTAAGCTTCTCAGATACACATTTTAAAACTCCTCACAGACCAGAGAAGGCACCCACAATAATTTGCCAACTGGAAATAACTTTTAGAGGTATCTGGGCATAAATATTTTCAAATATAGTTCTCATCTTTCTAAGACAAAACAAAAGCAAAATACTGTGTTGCATTCCTTCTAATGTCTCTCAATGTGACTGAATCTAGAAACTACAGTTGTCAAAGTATCGTACTTTTGAGGAACATATGTAACACTCAGTTGTGCCTGAAGGAGGCTGGGATTTCAAAGGAAATACCCACTGTGCTTTTCGAGTGAATTGGTAAAGAACAGACATACCTTTATCTCAATTTGAGTAAAGGCAGATTTTATTTTGGTATTTAGAGCTAAATGGCATTTATTTGCCATCTGTTTACATTTCATGTCTGATCTTTTTTCCTCATATCTTCAATAAATCTCCCTTCTGATGGCCTTTAACTGTCTTGCGAGGTAGTCAGGCCACGTGGCTTCCACCCTGGGCAGGGAGTCAGCCCTCCGTCCCTGTCTTTGCCTCCAGATAGCTGTGATGGGGAAGGACCGGAGATCCGGCACAGAACAAAGGCCGTGGAGGACCAAATCAGCACCGGGTGCGTTTCTACGTGCCCGTCACCTTCTGTGGACACTGAGACCGCACAGTGGGTAGAAAGCAAATGCCTACCACCCAGCTCCATCTCTTTCTAACCCTGGGCACGTCACTGAACAGCTCAGCTATAACATGGGATGCCCAGGAGGGCTGCACGGGATTATGTATTATTTATAAGGCTTAGCACCGCATCTGGAGCACTGTAAGGCTCAATGCCTATTAGTGATATTTAGTCTTCTATTTTTTTACATCCCCATTCGTCCCTGAATGTGAATAAAAATTTCTCATTCATCTCGACTATATTTAGTGCCTTGATTTCTGAAGGACGCGACAATGTTAGAAACGTCAGTGCGGTTTCCACAGACCCCCGTCAGACATCGCAGGTCTTGCTGAGAGCCCAGCCGTGAAGCAGTGAAGCACTGTGTTTCAGGTGTTCTTCACATCTCACTAAATCTTGTGGAGCAGAAGGTAGGGAACTTATACAGCCTGCAGCAAGAACTTGGGGGGGGGGGGGGGCAGCTTATTCCTCTTCCCTGATGGATGACTGCTACTCCTGACATGCAGAGTCTGGCACCTGGCAGGTGACAGACAGCAAGATCGGTACAGGCCCTCGGGCACCTTCGGGTTTCACAAAAGACAAAATAAGCCTGCCAGGAAGTGAAGCAAATCGCAGCATAGAGGAAGTTCAGGACTTTCTTTGTATGTTTGTTTTGATGTTTTTAGAGGGTTTTATTATATCATGATTATTATTACAATAGTCCTAAAAATGTTTCAAGCACATAAGAAACTAAAATCATCTGTTTTCCCTCAGGTCTTATTCAAGGAAAATGATTACTGAAGACATCTCATGGAGAGTAAGTGCAAATAAATGTTATTTTTTTTGGTTCGCAGGGTCTTATTCTAATACGAATGTGATGTAAGTAGTCACGAATTTCACTGTCACAGCTTGCCTCTGACTAGGCCTTCATAACTGCTGTTCAAAAGTAACCCACAAACAAAGTAAAAACAACCTTTACGCTTCGGCAAACAAATAATGCACATGAGCTCGGATTCAGGGCAGACCAGTGGGAAGATGTACGCTGGGGTTTAATCTTAAGTATCTGGAAGGCTTAGATGTGAAAAGCCTGGTCTCTGGCCTGAGGCACTGTTGGGAGTGGTGGAACCTTCCGGGAGCGGAGCACAGTGGAAGGAAGTCAGCCATGGGGCCGTGTGCCCCTCCCCACCCCTTCCCAAACATCAGGAGAAAGGGGAACCCTCTGGCCGCACACTCTGGGCACACTATATGTTATACTGTATCTCCACAGTCCCTGAATGAGGGGCCAGATGACCATTCCATGGAAGACTTCTGTCAGGGTGGCTCCCCAGTGGGCAGGAACCTTGATCTTGAAGCTTGTTTTCTTGTCTGTGAAGTTAGAGTAACAGGCACAAGTGTGGTTCAGCCAATGGCCTTTGGACACACAGAAAGGGTGTAAAGAGAGAGAGGAAGGCGGAGAGCAGAGCGGCCGAGTCATTCTAGCTAAAGCCAGGCCTCCTGCCAGGGTCCTGCCTCTCGGACAACAAAATATAATTGTTTCTATCGTGTACAATTCTCATATCCAATAAAGTGGAGAAAAGCCACAAAGGACTTCCTGATCTCATCACCAAACACTAGTAGTGCATTCAACCACTCTGATTTTATCTACGGCCTATGTAGACCTATTTACCTTCAATGGAATGTTTCTCTTTCTTTCACCTTTTGCTTATTCTTTGACAATTTCATGCCTATACAATGTGTCTTGGACCTCAAGATGGACTGTTTTTAAAGAAAATCTCAGACATTATTTAAATCCATTTGTAAGTTTGTCCAATAGATAAGAACTGTGAAGGACCAACTCAGTATCGTCAACACTCAATGAAACGATCAAGGATCCCTTAATAACATACAATCTGCATTCCATCTTCTCCTGCTGTTTTGAAGGAAAGATTTCTTACGGCTGGTCAATATGACCTAAGTTCCAAACAGGGCTGGTCTCTGCAACTGGCTAACCAGTCTCCTTGGCCCTGCTTAGCCCTTCTGTAACTTTTATTCACTGAAGCAATGAACCCAGGCGTTTTACAGACCTTCTATATTCAGGCATGGACTGCTTTCAATCCTGTGCTGTTAACATGCTCCCCTAGCCCCCTGTATTTCCTATAAACTACTACAGTGAATCCCACTTATCAGGAACAGTTGCCCACAATTAGCCCAAGTTTGAAAATATTGAATGGAAAATCCAGACACAGACAATTTGTACATTTGAAACTGCAGGACACTGTGAGTAGCATGATAAAGTTCCCTGGTGGTCCACTTGGTCTGCCAGTGGTGGGTGGTGGGCTCCAGAGTCACAAATGTGCTACCGGCCCATCATTCAGCAGCCGTACGGGCTATCTGATTGACTGTCGCCATTGCTCAGTGTTCCTGCCCCAGTGACTTTTATTTGACATAATAATGGCCCAGAGTGCAAGAGCAGAGAAGCTGAAAATCTGGATATGCAAATTAGAAGCCATAAATGCTTCCTTTAAGTGAAAGAGTTAATGTTTTCAACTCATTGTGTTGTAAAGTGTGCAGAGGTCGCTAAGATCTACGCTAACATGAGAGAATGTGAAGAGAGGGAAGAGAAATTAGCGGCAGAGGCAGAGTGGTGATCAAACGCTGTCTATCACGCCCGAGGCCTTGGGTTTGATCTCCAGCAACACAAAAGACAAAGGAAAAGTCGTACGAGAGACCACAGGACGTTTTCAGAGGCTAACAAATTACGTAACTTTTCTTATAGTGTAGTGTAACTGCGCTAGGTCATTATTAGTTATTACTGTGAATCTAATGACTCTCTGATTTACAAATTTAACTTTTATCACGTCTAAACAGAAAAATCTAGTATGGGTGCCAGATTGGTATGACATACAGTTCACAGCCAGGGTGTGTGTGGGGGTGGTGGTGGTGGTGGTGGTCTCTGGAAGGTATCTCCATGGCTAAGTGGGGATCCACTGTCTCCATTGGTCTTTTTTTGTCTCATTTGGTTCCTTGGTCGGAGGACAAGTGTGTGGGTCAGAACACTTCTCGGGTACTGCTGTTTCTGTGTCTGGTTGGCTTCTTTTGGATGACATGGATCTGTGGGTTCAAGCACTGTCAGCCCCATCTTCTGATTTCAGCACCTTTTCTTGCTGTTACCCACTTCTGTCATGTCTCGAGATGTTATCAAAGCATGTCTTTCTTTTCCCAGCATCCTTTTCCACTTACTACCCGTAAGTCTTTATGAGGGACTTACCCACTAGGAAGGAGGGGATGGATGTCAGATTTCCTTGTTTCTCTTTAATCTACACTCAGCACTATCACCTGCCGCTTCACAGCTTTCAATGAGACATGTAAGCATGGCTTTGTGTTCTAAGTATGATTATAAACTCAGGTGTCTTTATGTAGTTCAGTCCTTTTCACGTTCACTGCCCCATCTGGGTCCCGGGAGCCCCTCCAGGCTGGCTTCTGAGTCATCTTGGCATTATCCCAGCCCTCTCGGTTGGTTCTCAGTTTTCAGATGCCCCAAGGCCCTTCGATACGCTCCACATTCCACATCTGGAGTGGGCCATTCCTTCAGGGAGCCCTAATGCCTACTAGTGAGCAACGCCATTCGGGGGCCGCAGGGACTGAGTGCTACCGACGCTTCCGCATGCCTGACCATCGAAATCACGCATTTGCACCGACATCTCCTGGTCAGATGACAGACAACGTCTCTGTTACGCTTCTGAGTTCACACCTGGGCCTTTTTGCGTACATAGAACTTAGTTCCTTGCTGTATTAATTACTTATTTCTAATGACAATAAATTAATACTAAGAATACTGAACACAGTTTAAGCATTCCTTGTGATCATTTTCATTTTGCCTTAAGGTGTTTTCCACACCAGATGCAGAGTCAAAATATTTTAAATTCTCTGTGATCCACAGTTATATTCATCTCTTACACTGTTTTCTGGGGGGACTTCCTTTCCTTTTTTATTTAATAATATAAAACATTATAATAGGTTCAAACTACAAAACAATAGACAACAGAGATATTCAGATCCCTGTCCTACAGATAATGCCCTCCAGCCCTTAATTTCCCCTAAAGAAGAAAATCTATATAGTGAGGTTCAAATTAAAATGGACAGATAAGTTCCAACCAATATTTTTCACTTTTGACATGCAAAGAACTCTCTTGACAAGTCCAGGGAGAAATATTACAAGAGAAACCTTTTGATGTCAGCTGTACTGTGTTCAGTCACCACTAAAGCAAGCAGCATCTCACTGTTCAATTTTCCAACGCCCTGGGAAATAAGACCTGTGAGATTCCTTTAACTCTTCCTCCTTTCTGAGGAAAAATGTCAGAAATGCTGCTGAATATACTCATACTGAAAAACCAGTCTTGAAAATTCATAATACATGTGTGTATGTGCACACGCGTGTGTGAGCATGCACCCGCTTGTGTGTGTGTGTGTGTGTGTGTGTGTGTGTGTGTGTGTGTGTGTACTATAATATATGATGAGTTTAAAATATTTTGGATCTCCACCATTTCCTCCCAGCCAACCACCCCAGCTGAAAGGAAAACGCTCTCCAGACAGCAGAGTCAGCGTTCACTCTAGGCCAAGGCTCCAGCACAGGCACTGCCTGATCCCACACTGGATGCTGAGCCCCAGCCAATCGCTGCTCTGGGACTTGTCACTTCTGGAATGAGGTTGCTGTGACGTCCAAACGAGATTAAAATGTTAGCATCTGACATTAGTAAAAGCAGTGCTCTCAAGCAAAAGCCCAGCTTCCCCATAACCAACAGCCTCCTCCTGCATTCGATCTTAAAGGCAAAAGGGCAGGCCTGGGCAGGTCAACAGAGGCCCTTGCCGAACGGAGATGCAAAGCTGACAACCGGAGCTCTGTCGCCAGAGCCCGCCCACAATGCTGTCCTCTGACTGCCACATGTGCACCAGGGTATGCACGCTCACAGTCATAGAGCACACACACGCACGCACACACAAATATACACACCACACATCACAGACCACTAGACATCACACACCACACACACACACTACACATACCACCACACACACATACACACACACATCACACACCACACAAAACACCGCAATGCACACCACACACACACACATCACACACATCACACACCACTACACATCACAGCACACACACAATACATACTGCCACACACACATACACCACACACCACACACACCATCGCAATACACAACACACACACACACACACACACACACACACACACACACACACACACTAATGTTGTCTACCCACACTAAACCAAGTCCCTGCATTTATCCATTCTCCGATTCCTTTGATGGCTGTTATGAAAGAACCTGGTTACTAGTCAAAAGGTATTCTTGACAACACACGCATGGCTCGTCAGTAAACCTCATCTCTGGGTAGGAGCCAGAGAGGAGTCCTGACAAGGATCTGATTCTACACAGAAAAGAGCTCAAGGCCACTAAGAGGGTGCCTTTGATTAACTTTACACAAAGGTGGAAAAAGCCTGATGCTTCAGGAATCATTGCCAATAACGAGACACACACAGACAGAAAAAAAGCAAAGCCTAGCCCATCATCAATGTCCTAAGGAAGAATTTGTTCTTCCATCATTTGGTGCATGGTGTACTTTTTGTCTGGCTCTGCTAAGCCAATGAATCCAAATAGCTTTGGAGTGTGTTCATTTTTCAAATGACAGTCAAAACTACTATAATTTTTTTTTTGTAATTTTTCCAAAGTAGAAGAAATATGCACTATTTGGACTTTTTTGGAGGAATATAATTGAGAAAGTCTCTAGGCTCTAATTGAGAAAGTCCTTCCATACAGAGCCTTCAGTATGAGGTCTAGATAAGTATGTGGCGGTAAAGATGGAAGCTTCCAGTAGCAGAAGGGCAGACTGGGGGGGGGGGTGGAAAGGAGGGGTTTTTCAATATCTACACTGAAGAATTTCGTATCCTCAGTTGCCATTTACTGAAGATGGAGAGAAATTAAAACACCTCTGATACAAGACGAGAACACTCTAATGGACCTTATTAGAAGCCAGCTCTAAGAGTCCGCTTTGGAATGCATGCTAGGGGCCAGGCTTTTCCCCGGATAATTGAGCATCTATGGTTTCTCCGAGTCATCAAAACTGATTTGCTACTTCTCACCAGGCAGATGCCCCTGAGCAGGCTGCTGGGAAGGCCAAGGCCCTCCCTGCCCTGTAGGAGCTTTAGGTGAGAACAGGCATTGACAGGCACAAGTGCCCTTTTCTAAGTGACTGCCAAGATATACAGTGAGGTCTGTCTCATTTGCATACACATGTCCATGCAATACATGGTGTTTGGGTTACAGGTGCTATGCTCAGAAAAGATGTAAGCGGGGAAGTGAGTCTCACATCCCTCACAGTAGGAAAGAGTTGGGGAAGGGAAAAAGTACTATTTAAAAATTATTCGCCGGGTGG